TTCAGCCTGAAAGAGTTTATGGGAACGAGAGAGCAGACCAGAGCCTGACAGCTCTGTGACACTAAACACACATAATATACTTGAAAATAAGATAAATACATTGTCCGTTAGAATGTTTAGATACTTAAATAGCACATTTTACAAGAACAATGTCCGAGAATATTGCCTACTAGCATAAGCTAAGGTTAATGTTAGCCACAAAGTTTAAGTAAAACTCACCTTCTATAACGAGGCGAACATCTTAAAACCTTTCTCCAGCTGACTTGTTGGGGCTTCGGATCGATGTACAAACCTTGGCCAAGCCCTAGTGTAATATGATATTTTTATTGGATCGGAAACAATCGAGCCGCTTTTCCCCGAACTCGGAAGCTGAGGTGCAAAGAGCCCATAAGTACAGGTTTTCAGTTACTGTCTTTTAAAATGCTTGCTGTGTCAAGCAGGTTCAATAAATAAAAGTAGATTTTGATTCTCTAAAGTCTGTTTTTAATTTATACAAAATATGTATTTACAATTCTTTAAAAAGTCTAGTAAAGCATGTCAACTCAAATTCATCTTTACATAACTGAAATCTGAAGTTGTTTTTTTAGCAATTATTTTAAAGGAGTTACAACAACATTTAATTTGCCTTTGGGGTCAATGAGGTATTTTTGACTTTGAGTCACCAGGCATGACCCTTCACCTAGTAAGCACAGCAAAGCCCAGCCCGTTGCCTAGCAACCCCAGCAGAATTCCGTCTGTCACCTAGCAACCAAAGTTAAGTTCCAGGACATTTGGTCAGCTGGTTTTACCGCTCCATCTGGTGTACAATGGCTGCTGCTTGTTGTTGACTTACTATCCAGAATCCACTTGCTGCATTTTTGGTGGTTGTGTAGGAAGCTCTACTAATGCTTTTCAAAGATGTGTAGTTGTATAACTACACAACTCTTTGCAGCCATTTTCATGTGCAAATGTAAACATGGAGTTGTGGGCGTGGCCAGCAGCTAATCTGAATTTAAAGTGACAAGAGGCCCTAAAATAACTCATTCTGAAAAAGTACAATCTCATTATCCAAGAATGATTTTGTCTCACCCATAGATGTATCCTAACCGGTTCAAGGAAGTATATTAAGCAAAAGCAAAAAATTTTCTAATCAGTCACTCTCACCGGGTTCAGTGTCTCCTATCTGTATCCTTAAATCACAGTTTCCCTTCACCAGGTGGTTTACAATAGAAAAGTAAATTAATTCAGATCTGTTCTCTGCAGACAACACTTTTGTTTTGAATGTGTTCTGGATTACGGCAGGCTTCCTTAGAGAATGTGCGCTTCCTGCCAAACATCCAATTACCAGATGTTTTTACATCAGCCATAAAACTCCAAGGGGACAAAAACACATGGTGCTACACGGACAATCATAACAATATCAATTTTGATCCTTGTCAACATTTACCACTTCACAATCAAAATTAGCATTTTCTGGCAGTCAGAAAAAGAATAGGGACACAAACAAAAGATGAACACTCTGGATAATGTTTGGAATAATTGTCCCCCTCATGACCTGAACTGCTGTTTCTCATTGCAAACTCTCTGATCTGGATCAGTAAAAACCGAGTGTCTGACTCTGATTTTCATCGTTCTGAAATGTGCTACTCCTCCTGCTGTCATCTCCTCCATTATTGCTTTAAAGCAAATCAGTGGAGCAAAGTGACTTTTCAATTTGAATCATTCTCGAAGCAATTTTATGATTAAATAAGCTGGAAAAAATTGAGGAAGTGGGGAATTTGCATAAATCAGACGGCAAAGATTTTCTGTTTGGGGACAGAAAGGTTACTTTTTCTCCTCTGTACTTTTTTCAGTCTGAACAGCAGTTGCATGGAGCAAAACCGCAATAGGTGTTTGTGTTGAGAGAAGGCTTCTTCAATGCACAGCAGCAACACCTGAATGAATTATTTAAGCCGACGGAGCAAACATGACGTGTGCTGCACTCGGATAGATGTACGCCAACTGTGAGCACATGTAGACTGCAAATAAACCCGAGTGCTGCTAGTCGTTATCCATGGATGTAAACGTAAATTATGCAGCTGAATGGGGCCCGCCTGAACTCCTCCTCAAACTACAAGTGCGTCTAGTGATATTACGATTCCACACAGGTTCAGGAAGCCTAATTGTCCCTGCAATGGCCCATTTGACAACATAATTGTGGTGTTTCCATGAAATTCTCAAGCTAAATGCAGAGATTCCCTCGTGATGGGATGCAAATGCAAAGACAGGATGGTAATTCTTGGTTACACTTCCCCTCCTTTTCCATAAGACTTAATTACAGTTAGGAGAAACAACCTGCAGATTTAAATGCGTAGTGGTTTGATAGTTAATGGTTTTAATGGCAACTAACACACTATATCAATTACTGAAACCCAAGGTTGGGTAGCAATTAGCTACATTTACTTGAGCAAATTTACTTTTAAGAGAATTTTTACTTTTACTCCAGTAATTTTGTTAAGTGTCGCTACTTTTGAGTTGAATTTCTGCATATGAAGAACAAGCTTGTGTAACAAAAACTAAAGGTCTGTCTGATGGATTTCTGCTTAAAAGTTTCAGAAATTTTAAATTTAAAGAAATTGGTTTGGGAAAAAAAAAACTAAAAAGTGTATGTTTTATCACCCTCTGCTTTCAGTTCCGGTTCTGGTTTAGCTCAAAGATGTGCCATATTATTCAGATCAACATGCTGAGCACTACTTTCACATGAAGACAATCCACTCCATTATAAAACTAACCGATAACTGAAATGAGCCACAATAATGTGAAAAAGTAGTGTTACTGTTCTGTGCTCAAAGCTGCAGCTAGCTTAATGATATTTAGCTTTACCCAGATAATAAATTAAATTAAATTTTAAAAAATTAATTTCAGTCCATTCCTATTAGATTTTGTCATAAAAGATGGTTTATAAACAATGGCGCAACTACACATTATTCAGGTGGATGCGAAAACATAAATCGTTAGACAATTATTA